ACCTGCATACAAGCACCCTGTTTGCACATGTTCAAGTACAAAAGACAGAGAAGCATATTATGTCAATGTGACTTAACCTACCCCGAGTCTTTTAGGGGGAGGGTGTTCGTATCGTGGACTGTCAGCATTGCCAATGGCAACCCAACCAAATCCGGTCAGACGATCCCTGTTGTACAATAGAAACATCGGGAAAAAATCTTTGCAGTCCATATCCGGTGAGATGTTGTACCAGTAGTGACGACCTGAAGACCGAACGAAATTAATTTAATCTGACATATTCACTCACTACTGTAGTGCAACCGAGAACTAAAGTGAAAACCTGTGTGTATCTAAGCGCGCCAAATATTGATGTCTTCGACCCTGCTGTGGTTTTCGACCCACGAACTTTTCGCTGAAGTGGCTACCAAAAGTTTTACCAGGCTTCTCAAGGAAATTGAGAAATAGATCGCTTTCCAATTTACAAATCTAAGAAAAAAAAAATCGATCTGTTCCTTGTAAAACGGTTCCTTTTTAAAAGATCTTGTCTTTCAGGGGGTAACACCTCAGTAGTCAGTACAATTTGGAATTTTATTTTATAACTTCATGCGGAAACCAAGGATATAATAGTTGTTTAATATAGGTCACGTGTCCTGAATGCGCTACAATACAGAATAAAAGGTGCCCTGTGTAGCGAGAGGATGAGGAATTGTGGAAAGTAGTTCAGGAAGGTCCCGCATGTATATATATATATACGTATATATATGTGTATAATACTTTTTATTAGCACCAGTTCATTAGTCGTTATCTGTAATTACGTAATCATTAGCACTTCGATCTTATTTAATGCTCTGTTTTTTTATTTCAAAAGTTGTAAATAGCTGAAGGTCTCTGACCGAAACGTTTTTTATTAAAATTTTTAATTTTTTTTACGTCAGAAGTTGTCCATCCTCGCAATTTTTAAACTTCGTTCTACGTTCGTGTTTGCTGTGAGGTTTGGACTGCGAAGTATTGATCCTCCTGGCGCGGTGCACCTTTGTTGGCTTGAGAGTTCCACTAACGACTTTCGATATATTTCAAATATATATTTCATATATATTTCAAATGAGCTATGCAAAAACGTAATGAACGATCTTGAACAAATTACTAGAATTGGTCTCGACTTGATGACTAAAAATTTGTTTTCTCTTTATGCACTGAAGTGACATCTTGTGTGGAATCTCTTTCCACCGAAACAAATCATTCATGCAAGTAGTTTTGGGTATAACTTCATGACTGTGTGTGTACTTATGGGACTGATTGCACCCGTGTTCGTTAATGTATCATGCACATTATCAACCCTTTCAATTGTGACACACAGTTTTACCCAATACTAAACTGGTCCTCGCAGAAACTCATGAAAAACAGGCAACCGGTTGTCTTTTTAATTTTCCACCAAAGTAATGAAATTAGAATGAACTGCACTCGGCCTCTAGATTACGATGTTCCACAGAAACAGTCCTGATTAGACATTTGGACCATGTTATTCTCACCATGAACAACAATTAGGAAATCAGTCGAGTGCCTATCGATTTCTGCAGATGTTTTTTTGGTAATTGATTAGTAATTCCAACTTAAAAGCTCTCTACTCAAAATGCAAGGTCCTCTGATATGCCCTGGTTAAAGACGTGTCAGCCTAAGAGAAGGTAGATGAAAGAAACGATCTCTGAAAAAGTATCTTTCAAGCTAAGTTTACCAAAGGGCGAGTCACCCACAGTCCTGGGACAACTGCTTTCCTGTAGTTCCCTAGCTCACGACTCGACTCTCTTTACACTTGTGAGCGAGTCATAAACGTTTTTGCGTACGGGACCAACTTGTCTGCAAGTTCTTAATCGATTCAAATTCAATCCCCAACTAACTAGTCACAATAGAACCTGACAGAGGTAGAAAGGAGAACAAAAGAAAAAAATGGAGATAAATATCCCCCTCAAAAATATCGTTTTATTTTACCACTGTTTAACACAAGCGTTCGCCCCCAGCCAAAAAAACAAAACAAAAAAGCTTTGCGACATGACGCAATTATTTCCCATGTAAGGTCAACTGGTAATCGAACTGAGAATCAGTCAGAACACTAAGAATGCAATTTGCAAGCCTGAAATTCAACAACATAACTGTATTATTGTTCAAGCTCAGCGACTCACTTGAACATTTCAAATAGTTATCTGCATTCGAGACTCTCTTACGTGTAAAATGAAACGATTCTTAATCCAGTCCCTGGGATCGATGCTCCCTTGAGATAAAAACTGTTTGAAATAAAATGACGATAACACGGAGAGAAAAAAAAAATATTTGAAATCCTTCAAACCATACTGAATAATTGAAATCAATATTCTTAAAAAATGTTAGAAAACAAATGAAAGGATGTTTACCAGGCAGAAAATTTAATTTTTTGTCCCCGCAAACTGGATCACACGTAGGGTTTTTTTTCACAATCAATTCACCAATCACCATGTGCCGTTTACAAACCGTTTGTAATGCTACATCTCTCCGCAACGAGCAATCCAGCAAAACCAAACACGAGGGCTTCTACCAGCGAATATATTTGTTTCTAGTTAATTGAATTTAGTTACAAGTAGGTACACAATTAATGGACTACACAACATTCACTGTTTTACTCAAATCGAGGAAACATAGAGAGGGCTTTCAATTTGTCAATTATTGCTGAATTCATACAGTGGAAGCTTAACAAAGGGGACACCTTAGGGACGCGGTAATATTTAAGCAACTACAGCTGACTGCCGATCAGTAATACAGTACATTGGAGGTCATTCTGTCAATATGCAGTAAATTCATCAAAATCTACTTAGGATAATATTTCCGTCATATTACGGGTACTCAATAAATTTAATTGAATTATGCAGTGGATTCCCTTCAGAAAATTATTATTTTAATAAATGGTGGTATTTTTTAAACTTTTCACTACTATATGGCCAATGCAATTTAATAAAATCATAACTAAATTGCTTGACAAATAAATACATATATAAATAAATAATACAAATTTAGGTAGGAAGTTCAAGTTATACTTTATATTAAAAACGAATTAAGACTCCAACAGAAGCTGGAGAAAGACAGCTCACTCAAAAACATTCAGACTGAAACATTTCGAGAAACGTTCCTCGCGCAGGTACGAGAAACTTTCTTGTGTTCTGATCTAAATTCTGGTTAATTTTGGATAACAATTATCTTAAAACAAATCAGTAGATGGTGCAAATGCCGCAATCTTACATAACATTCAGCTTATTGGGATAAGCTTTACAAACGGTGTATAGGAGAATTAAAAAAAAACTAAAAAGTCCGCTGGAAAGCCATTTGTTAAGAGGGACTTTGTTCCCTGTCCTTAATATCAGCGGGCCATGACTACTTAATGTTCATCCTGCCTCCATCGCATGTATATGCATTATGAACGATACAAGAATTACATACTAGAAATAAGCTCCTCTAAATGTTATGAAGTTTCAACGCTTTGCTATTTCAGGAAGCAACACTTTTGCTGAGAGATATCCTCTATACCACTTCCAAATATAGTTACAATTTGTCTGTGAACCCTGGAAACCAAGAAAAATAGGAAGGTAATTTATTTTAAAAACTAAAATATTTCTCTCTATTTTTTGTGTACCATTTTTAAAGCCACAAGGTTGAATTTGTAGGAACGTAGCACCTCACATGAAAACAAAAAGGGGCATAGATTCATTACAATCTTAATACAACGACGCGTGCCTTGGCTGGACTCCAGAGTGGCTTTGGATTGTCTAGTTCACCTTCAAGTGATGCAACGCACGCAAAACAAAATAAATTACGTGTTACAAGTTAGACTGTTGGATACCTGAGAGATAAAGATGCCTGCCTGAGCACTTCACCATCCACATTCCACACACCCACTGGTCGCCGCTCCTTACGATTCCTCCTTGCTCTATAACTACCGCCAAGTAATGGACTATCCGTACCACTCACAGGGACACCACTCTTGTCACAGGCACGAATATGACATTCTTTAACACGGTGTGTTTCGATGAAGCCAAATGCAAACTGTAATGTAAATAACGCGAGCCAAGATGGAAAAACGTAATCATCTCAACTTGGCCGAAAAGAGATGATAATTATATTCAATTTTTTTTTTGTTTGCTTTACTAATTTCAGGACGATTATAATCAATTAGTGAACAGAGTGTACTTAAATACATATTTTGAATTTGTGTTGTGGTTTTAACAAGAGCAACGGAATGAAAATATAAGCAGTGCAGGGACTACTGTGATCGAAGCGTGATTGAAGGAAAACCCCTTTTGGGTTCCTGTTTTCCTCTCCTTTTTTCTCTCTTTCTCTGATTTATGATACACATTCAAAGCCTTCGTTTCTGCCGTTTTTCCTACACCAATCTTCGTTCTCTTCAGGGAGTGCTGGCTCATTTATTGAGCCTATTAGATATAATTATCATTATAAACAAACCTGGTCTTTGGAATTGAAGTTTCGCTGAATATGTGATTTCATTTGGAGTCTTGAGCAGTCTTTAATGATAACAAGGTCTGTGAAACCATCTCCCAGGTGACAGCATGGTGATGGACCCTCTGGGGATATCTCACACAGATTGGGAAGAGTGTAAAAATTCACTCCATTTACACGAGATTGAAACGACTTCCACTCTGTTCATAAAATAAAATAAAATTGGGAAAATAAGCAAGAAAAATACAACTTTCCTCTTAAAAATGGAATCTACCAGTTAGCCTATCTTGGATGTGGTCAGGTTTTACCGGTATCATTTGCTACAGAGCCATTGGAACTTTCTTTTCAACTCCTGGCAAACTAAGAGTGTTACAGTATTGTTCACTGAAGCTCTGCTTCTAATCGGTCGTTTCATTATTGATCAAAATGTTAAATGTGTTTAAAAACAAATCAATGCCAAAACTAGTCTGTACTTTAGCTAAAATTAATTACTATAATTACAATAAAATTCATTCCCTCATCCTTTTAAATTCATCCTATAAAGTATTACATTTATTACACCTTTCCTTCTCTATTTTTCTATTTCATTATCCACATTATATTTGCAGGGAGAAATGATGAAAAATAGATGGTAAACCAGTATTACAACCAGAAAACCTATCAATCAGGTGAGCTAAAATTATGCACTTGATCCACATATGGCACGATCTTTTGGTGATGTACATAAACTAGAACAAGAGCAACAAATCTCATCATGTCTTTATCTCAGTAAGTACCTTTGTTTTGCTCACTTTCATAATCTTGATCATCTTCCTTACTACAAACCTCACAACTACATGTATACAAGTAAAAACACCTTGATAAATAATTTCATCACCAACACTCAAGATTGATTTTACAGGTAATAGAACAGCCGTTCCCTAAATCCCTATTATTTGAGAAGGTAAGAGATGAGAGGGGCAGTTATTCAAGGGGAGGGGGGGCACTTGTTCAAAATGATGGCCTCGGGTGTGTTTATTAGAGAGTGAGCTCCAATTAGTAAGAGGAAATACTGTATGGCCAATGTGACCTCATTGTGAAAGAGATTTACCAGTATGAGTGTCGGTCATCTTAATTAAATACTTACCCCATTCTACAGCGAGTGTTATCTCTTGGATGGTGTTCAGGAAAAGGACTTAGAAGATATTTCACCTCCACATCATAAGATCTATAAAAAATGTATCCAAGACAAATTGTAGCTGACTGTTGAAAATTTCACTTTGTTAGGATAATTGATGCATTCTTACATGGGAAAAGCATTCAGCATCAGGAAATACTGTTTTAGAATCAATTTTTAATTAGTTTGCCTCAGTTTCCAGAGTCTCCTGGCAGCTCCCCATTTGTATCTTTTTGGACCCATCCAACGATGTTGCTCACTAGTTTTCAACACATCTCCAAGGAAGCCATAAGCCAGAGAAAATGTGAACCTGATGTGTTTGTTGTCACTCCACAGGGAACATATATCCAATGATATTGTGTGACCTAAAGCAAATACATGTAAGATAGAGATAAGTACTATTTTTAACTCTGTACAATTGTGTTGATTAAAACCAATTTCCAAGGGATCTGTAATACACAGGAGCAATCCTTCTCTCACAAGTATAAAAAAGACAAAAATGTGATAAACATTTAGAAGTTTATAAATACATAGGTGCACAAATTTGATACATTTTGCTCTAAAACAGGATTCTAGGGAAACACCTACATCTACATACAGTCTGTAGTATGCAGTGTGTGTGCATCTATAAAGTATGCAGCGTGTGCATGTATTATAATAGTATGCAGTGTGTGCATCTATATAGTATGCAGTGTGTGTACATGAAAGAAAGAGAGAAAGTCTTAGGCACTCTAAACAACAAACGGGTTTCGTTACAATGATTAAAGGTTGAGATCAGACGTCAGCATTAACAGGCGCCTCTGGCAGCCGCTTCAGTCTATGTAATAATCTCACCTTCCCACCCATCCCACCCCAGGGAAGGACATCCACCACACAGTAATCACATGCGTGGGAAATTATTGTCTCCTACCCCTAACCCTGCTAGAGATGGGCCTACGGTTTATTTGTCCTTATCTGAGAAGACTAGAATATCTATCCATTTCTTGATATTAAAGAAAGGTAGTACATTCTCCTCAGTTATTTTAAGTCCATGAGTATTGGTCCAGCCGGGACTCAAACCCTCAACCTCCCACACAACACAATCCAGCGCTCTAACCAATTGAGCTAACGGGGAGGCGGTTACATCTATAGTATGCAGTCTGTGGGCATCTGTATATTATGCAGTATGTGCACATCGATATAGCAAGCAGTGTGTTTGCAACTTTAAGTATACAGTATGTGTACATTTATATAGTATGGAGTGTGTGCATAGTTATTTGTGACACTTTTTGGCCTCCTTTTTGTTCTCTGTCTTTCTGTTGCTTTTCACCATGTTTTGATGTGAGTTACACCAGTTGACATCATCCAAGAAAATCACACAATTAATTTTGCCACTTTCCTGGAGAGTTTTCAGAAGAAAAGGAGGTATTTTTTTTAATGCAAAAAAGGGCTCAAAACAAGTTCAGGAGTGTTTTAACCTCAATTTTGTACTATGTATAGAAGAGAAAAACTCATAATAAAAGCTATTTGTGGAGATATTACCTAAAATTATATGTATAGCAGATGTAACAGGATCATTAGATCCCTGTGCTGAATAAACCACCACCTCTGTTGAACCTAAAAAGTAATTAAATGTAATACTTTATAAATATATATTCCTTGACAATATTTGAAATCAATCAATATTTAAACTTGTTTGATTGTTCAGATCATTATTACAGAATGGGAACATGTAAAGTGTGTTCCCTAGAATAAAGTTCATTTTATATCCTTACTTTACATAACTTCCGACAGGCAGAAAAGCAAACTTGAAAGTTTCAAATCATGACTATTATTTGGAATGAGTGTTGTGAATGGAAACCTCATCATCTGATCAATTTAGTTTCAGTTGAAGGAACAACAAAAGCTCAAAAGTAAGTTGATAGTTTTTCCTAAAGCTTGATTCTTGCTTCTTGAAACTTCCAAGAATTGAGGATCAAGTTTTGAGGCTCCAGTTTCAAGTTAACATACTAGACAACCTTAAAGATTTTTTTTTCTGGATCTTAAAGTGTAGATTTGAGGAAAAAATACTTCTCTTCTCTATAAGGACACTAAAAACTAGAATCTAAATTGCAGTGTACTGCAAACAAATCTGTGACAATAATAATTCCTGTGACCAATCTCCAAAGCATAGAAGCCCCTTTAATCACAGATGTTGCATTGAATCAGTGGTACCTGCAGGAATGATTCCAATTGGCATTCTGAGTGGCAGAGCACTGAACTTCTCTGGTAGGGTTCCATCTACCAGATCAATTCCAATATTTCCATGAGACTTCTCTAATAATCCATTAACAACTTCATGTACAGTACCATCTCCTCCAACACAAACAACCCTGAAAATTTTCACATTCAAAAAATTAGTCCTGCAATTATTTCTTATCATGTAAGAAATAATTGCAGGACAAATTATTTCTTACATGATAGAATAAGCTAACTTGCCTGCTTTTGAAAATTCTTGAAATTGAGGAGATGAATGTTGACTTGCACTACCTTGACCTTTCTAGCTTATATTTGTATTTCAACTGATTAGCTTTCTCTTTGACCTGTTAAAAATCCCTTGTGTGACTGGCTCAGTTAAAACCTTTGACATGATTATCACTACTATTATTTATTATTTATTTTTATTTGCTCATTTATTTATTTATTTAATCATTGCGCGTGCGCGTGTGCATGCGTGTGTGTGTGAGAGAGAGCCTTGGGAATCCTTGTTTACAATATTTGCCTCATTAGCATAAGCAATTCAGTTTCTGATGGAGCTAAAAATAAATCAGTTCTGAATATCAAAAGGTCAAAGTATGACTAACCCGGCCAATGAATACGAGCCTGATGCATTGAATACTTTTTGTGCAACACCGGTTTAAAAACTCAAAATTTTACATGGAATGTATGAGCTCATTAGCACTTTTGCCACCCAGAAATTTTGCAGTTTTTGATGGACTATTTCTCCTTGAATATTACACCCAAAGAGCTAAAAATTTCACCATGTACTAAGGTTTTCTAGCTCTTTGGCTGCCTGAAGTCAATTTGTATCTAACATGCTTCCTTCTTTACGCAAAGCCGTATGCAAATGAGCAAAAATGTAAACAATGACGTCAGCATGAATCCGCCTATACAGTGTCTGTTTAGGTAGCCCGCCTAGAATAGCTTTGCTAACTGCAGGCTACAAAGGCCTTTATTTCTTTATTTAAAAAAAGATAAAGTCAATGTTGTATCACTGGGAGTATTAAATGACACCAAAAATGGTTCATTTGTCTATCCAGGCAACATTTTCAAAATACATCTTGCAGTGATAGCTGTTAACTGAAAACAGCTTAACTATTTTCTAACCATAGCAATTTGATAAAAATTCATTATGAGCCTGCTTTTAATCTAAAATTCACCTGTAAGTTTCTAAGGAAATACTTTCATTAGCATTAGAATTAGTTTATATCATTTTGAAACATTACACTTAAGTGGTGTTTACAGTTATTTATCATTGCTATGATTTTGCTTCAATCTTAACCAAGCACTTAACTAATTATTTTTTTGGGGGGAGAATTCTCTAATTTAACTGCAATGGTTAAAATCTATGCAGGAAATATCTTATTATTTACTTTAAAATTCTAGGATTTTGCTTTATTGCATAATTATTTACTTTACAGTATAAAGTTATTACTTTTGGGCTCAGCAAATTATCACTAACAAAGAGAAAGATACGTATGATGCACGATCCTTCGCAGTAGATAGTGCTATTTATGCAATATTTAACCAATATTTAGCCAAAGAGAAAGATATTTCCTTACCCATCATATGTGGAAAGCTCTGCAGTTCGGAAGAACTCCCAAGCATGCCCTGCCCACTGTGTCACTAAATAGGTTTTATATCCAACTTATTAGAGATTTTAAAGTTGTTTATATATAATTCAAATTTTATCTCAGCCAATAAAATTTCACGATGATTAATTTAATTATCATAATATTACAATTTAAATTAACCTTTTTAATGTTTGCACATGAACAAATTATACTTCAAGCTTTGCAGAAAAATTTCAGGAAAATGCATATATGCATTTGAATCTATTTGCTTATCCCACAGCAGACATACAATTACAGATTCTATTTTGCATGCCAGTGAGTGAGTAAGTAAGTTAACTCTTTATTTAAAGAGGGTTGCAATTAATAGCCAAAAAATTAATAAAATTGTTGCCAGTCTGAGTTAAAAAACTATGTAAGTCAGAATGGAATCAGTGACTTTGCCAAATTTAGACCCCAAAGTCTTTACATTCCACAAATATTGAGTAATTGTAAGAGTAAGGTTATTTACCTAGTATAGGGGACAACCTTGTCCTATTATAAATTTACCTACCTTTGGCAAATTGTTACATAAATACATGATAAATGATATATTTTTGGAAAGCAAATTGTTAAATGCTAGTAATCTGCACTTTGTTACATGTGACTAATAAAATTAATGTGTTTATCAATTTACACAAAATTTTGGGAGGGTATACTATGACTGCCATATACAATACAAGTTGATATACACAGATGCAGCTAACAACACATGTTTTTGAGCTTGTATGATCTCACAACTTCCCACAAAAATATACCACTATAACTGCATATGAGTAACAGCAAGTACTACAAATAACTTACTCAAAAGATCTGCCGTGATGCCAGCTTTCTCAAATAATGGCGCAACTTGTTTCAGATACACAAGCCTCGCTTGGCCTTTTTTACTTCTGGGATTTATTACTACTTTCAACTTATGAGGTCTACTAGGAATACCTAAAAATAAACAATAAAAAAGAGTTTAAATGTTGTCAGAAATTGTGCATGCGAGACCGCAGAATGATAAGAATTCTATAAATTTGCACTATAAATTTGTGACAGTGCACAAATAAAAATCTAAGATAATTATAGCCTAAATGTACAAGTGCTAAAAGGAATTGTGTGATATAAGCCCTTGGCAAATTGTGATTCACAAGTAAGTAACAGACTAGAAATAAATTATTTTTGCCACAGACTATGCTAGGTCAGAGATTTATCAATTCATTGTTGACTAATTCTGAGAATTAGATGCAGCATCTAAAAAAATTATCCTTGGGACTCCTTTATAATACCACCTTTTACAAATATCATACCATTAACTGGTGATGGGTATTCAGTTTTCTTATTTATTTGCTCTTTTCTCAGCTCTGGCTTTAACTGCCTGAAAGAGTGTACAAAACTACCTGCATTACAGGCTACATTAACTTTTGTTAGTGTAGCCCATACAGAGTTGAACCAAAAGAAATCCTGCATAGTTGATTAGGCTAAAACTTACTCTGTAAAGTGTCATTGATCTTAACAATCCACATGTCACAGACATTTTGATCATCACTCTCAAATGTTATCCTTGCTTCACACAGCTTCCTGTTGTGAGCTTTATTGAAGGTAAAAATAGTAAATCCAACAAGTTCACCATCCTTCCTTTCATTTTTAGGTTTGCGTCGTTTTGCTATCCATGCACCAATGATATCTGACAGTTTCACAGATCTTGTGCAAAGCTTGTAATTGCGTGTGCTAGAGGCTGTTTACATCAACAAGAGCTTAGTCAATTCATAAAATACTGCAATTTCTTATGCAAAGTTGACAATTAACAATTATTTGCTGAAGGCGAGGTGAATGTCGTCGAATAATCCCCGAGACGAAGTCAAGGGGATTATTCTACAATATTCACCGAACCTGAGGCGAATAATTGTTTTAGTATAATTTCAGAGCTGAGCAAAGAGTTTCCAGCAATCTGATTGGTCAAGTGGTTCCTTATATGACGCTATATAAACCGCTCCACGCAGTTTATATAAAATGTTAAAATAAAATGTTAATAAATGTTACTAAAATGTAATGATTTTAGAAATTTCTCTGTTGTTCAGCTCTTAAATTATACTAAAACAATTATTCGCCTCAGGTTTGGTAAATATTGTTGAATAATCCCCTCGAATTCGTCTCGGGGATTATTCGACGATATTCACCTTGCCTTCGGCAAATAATTGTTAATTATTAACTGTCTTGGGTGTTAAATAAATGAGGAGAAAATCTACTTTCTTGGATGTATAAAGGCAACATGCCATAGAAAGCCACCCACTCATACCTGAAAAATATATTGAAACACCTTTCAGGTGTTTCAGTTGATCAAAATCATGAAAAGGCTTGAATGACCTCAATACTTGAAATGATCACACTTAAGTAAAGGAGAAATGCTACAAGCACTCGTGACACGAACTTCTGGCTACAAACTGACTGTACATTTGAAACGTCTTCTCAACTTTTTACATATCTTATAATTGATATATTTCATTTGCATAAGGTTAGAAAGTTTTTTTCTATCAGGACACGTATTCTTTCAAAACATTTACTTTCTGCGTGAAACAGTTGTTTCAGTTTCCTATAGTTTGTTACGCTTCACTCAGTCGCATTATACTTCATAGTTAGCTTAAAGAGTATAATTGATCTGGATAACTACACTGTAGATCAGCCTAACAGTTATGAGGAAGTATATAGCCATAAGAGGAAAATTATGAACACATTTAATTTATGCAACTGAGTCAAGTTAAAACTTAGCTCGAAAGTTTACACGTACAAGTCAATAATTGATGTCAATAATTGACATGATGTCAAACGGTTCACGATAACTTGTAAAACAAAGCTTTTAGTTTAATCGGAGAACAATATTACTTACGAAACAAGCATCACAAACAGACGAGCGACGCTTTCGAGATAAGCCACTGATTTTAGAATGCTTACTAAAATACCTGAACTCAACTCGCCTTGTAGTGTCCAGACGATTTCATTTTCGTCAAGATAAACATCATACAGCTTCCCTTTTAACTTAAAAACACCCTTCAAACCGCGTTCAGACACGCTTGCTTCGTTCATTTCATCGCTGGGAGAACATGAAGCATTTCTAATTAAATAACTCAAGAATCGAAACTCCTTTTCTGTTTGGAAACTGTTCGGAAAGCCCGCGGCCCTGCCAGGTGTTTACACTGCTTGGACTTAGGCTCGTGAATTACGAACATGGCCTTCAAAAACGATCTCGCTGCATTATGGGACTACTTTTCTAAGAGGGTGAGGAGGGTGATGTTAATTATTATTTTATTATTATTATTATTTTTTGTTTTATTTTTATTATTATTATTTTTATTTTTCCCGAAAGAACACACACACGCAACCCTAAGCAAATAAACTTGAAAAAACTTAAATTGAAGCTTGTTAGACCATACAGGTGAACTCATTTTAAGTCAGGAAGATAGAATTGATGAGGCTTTACCTCTTTATCATACACCCCCCCCC